TATCTCATATATGAGCTTGGGGTGGGGGTGGGGCACCATAACATGAATTTTTCAGATATCTGCCATCATCTTTGACCTGAAAATATTAAATGTCATATTCTAAGTGATTCTTACATTTTAAATTGTGTGCCATTCTGAGAAGTGTAGACAAATACCACACTGTCCTATGAGGGATGTGAATTATCCCCTTGTCCAGCTTACACGTACCCTATATGCTTCTTGCCCATTGGTCAGCAAGTAGCCCTGTTGGTGATCGGATTGACTGCCACAGCATCAAAGTGCTGTTTATGGGGTTTAGTATTTATCTATATAGTTTCAGGCACTTCACTGAGGTCTTGGAACAAAACCCCCTGAGTAAGCTGAGGCCATTATAAGAGGATAACACTGGGGAGAAGGGATGGCAGGTGCTATTACAGAAGAGATCAAAGAGGACCTAACACAGATGTATTGGGTTTAAAAAAAAAAGTTTTGAAATTATTGGGGGATGAAATTTAGTTTTGAGACAATTGGGAAAATTATGGATGAGGCAGAGGATATAGAAGAAGAGGAGTTAAGAATAAAACTGGGTTGGTGAATTAATGACATTTAGGTTATATGTGAAATTTATTATATTTTCTCTCTCTTATATCAGCAGCCTATATAGACTTCTTCTAGTTTTCTCTAATAGGAATAATTGTTATTATTTTTAAAATTTATCATTGACACACATAATATTTGTTCATATTTACAGGGTACAGTATAATAATGTGATATATGTGTGCAATGTATAATGATTAAATCAAGATAGTTAGCATTTCTATCTCTTCAAACATTTATTATTCCTATGTGTTAAGAACTTTCAGACTCTTCTAGTTATTTGGAAATATACAAAAAAAAATTGTCATAGAGGATAATTACTCTACTGTGCTATGAAACACTAGGACTAGTGTCCCAGTTTTCCTGAGTATTTCTTGGTCCCCATTATCTAGCCTCTATCTCCTCTCCCTGCCTCTAGCACAACCATTCTACTTTCTTCCATGAAATCAACTATTTTCTCTTTCATAAATGAATGACAGCATGCAGTGTTTGTTTTTCTATGCCTGGGCTTATTGCACCTGACGTGATATCCTCCAGTTCCATTCATCTCACAAAAAATAACAGAATTTCTTTCTATTTTATGGCTGAATAATATTCCATTGCATATATAGCACATTTTCCTTACCCATTCATCTGTCAATGGTCACCTTGGTTGATTTGATATCATGGCTATTGAGAATAGTGCTGGATCAAGGGGGACAACAGTAAGTCAACAACATTGTGGGGAAGAAAAGGCAGGCTCCCGATCTATAGAACAGAATTGAGACCTAACACAGATGTAATGTGGACCTTGAACATGGGAGTTCTGGTACCTATTTAATATAATGATTTCATTTCCTTTATAATATTATAAGATCATATAGTAGTTCTGTTTTGAGTTTTGAGGACCTTCCATACTGACACTCATAATAGGTGTCCTAATTTACATTCCCACCAACAGTATATAAGAGTTCAACTCTCTTCTAGACATCCTTGACAAAATTTGTCATTTTTCATCTTTTTTATACAGCCATTCTGACTGGGATGCCATATCTCATTGTGGTTTTAATTTGTATTTCTCTGATGATTAGCAATGTTGAGTATTTTTTCATAAACTTATTGGCTATTTTTATGTTTTCTTTATAAAATGCCTGTTCAGAAAAAAGTGAGCATATTTTTTAGAGATACATATGAAAGTATGTAGAAGCGAAATGACACAAAGACTGGCATTTGCCTTAAAATACTACCCAAAGGGGGAAAAAAAGAAGGTAAATGAAGTAAATGTGGCAAGACCATGGTGGTTGTTGGATTTGAGTGATGAAGATTCATTGTTGTAGCCTCTTTACTCTTAAATAAGTATAAAGTTTTCTTTAAAAAAAAAATTCTCCTCCATCTTTCCACTGGGAAGGAAGTGCAAAAATATCTATGGCCTGGAACAAAATAATAATAATAATAATAATAATAATAATAATAATAATAATAATAGAAGCACTAAAATATTCCTATGATGAGGGTTTTTTGTTTTGTTTTTGCTTGGGTTTTGTTGTTGTTTTGGAGGTTTTGTTGTTGTTGTTGTTGTTGTTTGTTTTGTTTTGTTTTGTTTTGAGGTACTCAGGATTGAACCCAGGGCCTTGGGCATGCTAAGTAAGTGCTCTACCACTAAGCTACATCCCCAGCCTGCAATGATTATTTTTAAGCAACTCCATGCTAGGCAGAGTGTTCCAAGTAAAGATTTTAAGTTTGTAGTCAGAAGCCTTTTTGGGGGGAAGAAGGAAGGAAAGAAGGAAGGAAGGAAGGAAGGAAGGAAGGAAGGAAGGAAGGAAGGAAGGAAGCTTGTTTTGAACTATTCTCCATTGCTTGCTCTGTTTGACCTTGTTTGACAAGTTTCTATACATCTCTGAGATTTTATTTTCATATCGATGTGGCTTACCTCACAAACTTCATTGAGACAGCAACACCCTATTAACATTCTAAACTACTCTCTGAAGTCCTACAAGCCTTATTAGTGGGAAGTCCAGCATCTACCTTGGAAGGCCCTCTTCCCACCTCCCTTGCTGCCTGAGAATCCTGGTTTCCTACTAGCAGGCCTGGCTCCAGAATCAGAGGTGTCTCACTTCTCAAGGCCACAAGGAGTTGCCATTTCAACTTCTTGTCCAGCCATGCTGTCTCAGGATGGCCTTGCAAATACTGACCAAGGCCTTGAGAGAGTACAAGGGAGCATGGTTTGAACTCCACTATTACATTCCTTCCTTTTAATTGACACTCACATGCTTTGCAATGGTTTGCAAAGGCACGGCATAACATGTCTGGTTCTTGACCCTGTGGTCTATTAGAAAGAGCCCTTGCTATTCCACCCAAGACCCTACTACCTGGCAGGCACTGTTTGGGAATATCAGATAGATTGCTGAACAACAACAAAAAAGATCTCTGCTCACCTTACAGAGCTAGGGTGGGCTGCTGTTTGCCACATACCTGAGCCCAAGTCACCATCAAAGACTCCCCCCACTCCTGATGAGTTTTGCTTTTGGTGGTGGTGGGGGGGGTACCCTCTCAACCATGCAGTTTGAACCTAACCTACCACCATGCATCATCAGTGTGCATACTACATTGGAGGCCTGTAGGATTTTACTAGGCTATACACACACACACACACACACACACACACACACACACATACACACACACACACTCCATGTCATCCCAATGATGTTGGGGTCTGCGATGGGGTCTGAGACTGACATTTTCACAGGCTACTGTTTCGTACTCCTCTTCAGGAGGACACTACCTGGCAAGACTGATTTTCCCCATGAAACAAAGGTGAAGCAAAGATCTGGCATTTTCCTTCTGGTGGAGGGAGAGGGGAATGCTGATATGCCAAATGCCCTGTTTTATAGATACAAGATGCCATCAATTAATTACAAAAGGGTCTGATTTCAGAAATTTTAAAATGAGGGCAAAAACAAAACCCTGCATTGTAGAATCAATGGAATAAAGTATTTGGAGCAGCAGTTGAGCATGGTAGTTAAGTATTTGGTGTCTGGAGTCTGACAGACATGGCTCCACCATTTATTACCTCTGTGGCCTTGGGCGGATTACTTAACCTCTATAAAATTGAATTTCCTCACTTCTAATATGACCATAACCACAAGGGCTGCCTGGTGAATAGTATTGACCCTTTCAGCTTGATATTTTAGCTCTCCAGCCAGTAAAATAAAATTCACAAACTGACCACTTCTGTATTTCCTCCAGAATTCCATACCTCTCTGAAGTAAAATAACTGGACATAAAAAAATAATCCTGCTGTAAAAGACCTAATCTTCGTGTTTTGCCCAAATGGTTCTGAATTTTTTACTACTTTGTAAGGATGTATTCATCCATTAGTTCTTTTTTAAAAATTAAGTAAATATTTCTTTTAAATGGCAGTTTAAAAAATAAGCCCAAATCATTGTTTGAACTGTGCGTCAGTTTTTATGTTGGGCTTCGAGTACACCTTCATGAAAACAGTATCCACCTTATACACTAAGTGGATGAGATGTGCTGAGTATACCACTTGCCTTCCTTACCCAGGGAGGTTGCAGTGACTATTCAAGGTCATGGATTTGCTCTTGAGGACAGACTCCACTTTCTGTGGTTCGCTGGTATTTCCAGCATCCGTACCTGTGCTTAGAATATGATAAGGATTTGATGAAGGTACAAATGATTTCTTCTTTTAACCTCCGACTAACTCTTGCAGGTGATCAGGTGGAGCAGGGAGGATTGGGGAAGCATTAGCTGGCAGTGGCTGGCCATGGGTGCAAAGAGAACCAGCTGACATTCCTAGTGTGAAAGGGTGCACACTTGAGCTACTAGACCACATCCTAGGCACATCCTGAGGGAACCTGTCAAGCTCAGTCCTAGAGCAAGGCGTTTGTTACAGGAACACTTTTCTTGATGGGACTGACTTGGGTACCATAGCAAATAAAATAATGGACTTTATGATCCTTGCTCATAGAAAAGAGGGTGAACTGAGAATTGTATTTAGCACAGCTCTGGGCTGGAGTGGGGAGGAGGGTCAGGCCTCTGGCTGTTCTTCAGTATCTCAGCAGTACGTAAAGCTGTTCTTCAGTATCTCAGCAGTACGTGGCTGCTCCTCCTACCAGATGTCCGCCTGTCCTAGGGAATTTCTCCCCTACATATTCCTAGTGACTGCAATTTAAGAGAGACAAAGAAGAACAAACCAAAAAACAACAGGACTCTCCAGTTCTCCTCCTTTTTTACCAATTCTGGATGGAATTTTACAAATTGAAACAATTTTCTTGGAGTGGCAAACAGCAGCAGAGGTGAACTTGGGAGCTACCTGTGTTCTGTAAATCATTGTTACTGAAATTAGTTTGAAGAGATTATTCATCCAGAAGTTTCAGAACTACCTGAACTAACTTTTTCCTTCCCATTTTCTCACATTTCAGGTGACCTTGTACAAGGATTCTGACATGGAAGACTTTGGGTTCAGTGTAGCAGATGGCTTGCTAGAGAAGGGAGTCTATGTAAAAAATATTCGCCCAGCTGGGCCAGGCGATCTTGGTGGCTTAAAGCCCTATGACAGACTCTTACAGGTAAGACCTTGGGTGAGATCCTAATTCCTTGCAACTGACTCATGACTGGGGACTTCCTCAAAATATCCCTGCAGATGTGGAGTTCAAACATTGCCTTCAAACATTGTCACCAAGATTACGGAATTATTGAAAATAAACAGCTAAATAAAGAATTGTCAGCTCTAGTAAATTCTCTCCCAGCCTAAAGAGTTCTCTGGTTTCTTAACAGTGTTTTGGCTCCAAGCCACCTTTCCCAATCTAGTGCCTATTCTTCAGATTCCACCCATCCACACGGGTCACTAATATCTAAGCGTGGCATGTATTAATATGTCAATATTATGTAGTTTTGTCCCTCCAGCTCCCTACCATCTAGTCCTTCCTTCTACTCTTCTTAAGTATAACCTAAAGTATCTTTCCTTGCCAGTATCTTGTCCCTCTCTTCATTTACTCTCTGGCTACAAATGGACTTGTTTCAGGAAGGGCATGTCCTGCCACCACCTGGCTTTCTATCATTGGGACATGAGCCTTATTTCCTACCCAATTATTTGTTTGCTTTCTTGCCCACTAAAACATCACTCCACGAGGGCAGTGATTTTACCACTGTCTCATCAGTCCCAAGAACAATGCCTGTCACATGGAAAGTAGTCAGTGTTGTACAGAAGGACAGAAGCATTTTGGCCCTGAACTTTGCAATGCACTATCACCTTTCCCCACAACCCTCTCCTATTTTCCCACCCTCTTGCCTACCTACGCAACTCCTACTTAACCTTTTGGCTTCACTCAAATCAGTGATTCTCTACCTTGCCTGAATAACAGAATTGGAAAAATTTATCCCAATGCCTGGACCAAATCCCAGAACACTGAAATCGGCATCGCTAGGGATGAAAAACAGCATCAAGTGTTTTAAAACTCCAGCAAATGATTCCAGTGAGCAGCCAGGTTGAAAACTACTAACTTAGTTTTCTCCTCAAAGTCTTAATTGACCAATGCTCACATACTCCTAAAGACATATTCTATATTCTATCTAGGATAGAATCTTTTTCCTTTGGCAGAATTTGCCTTATTCCAATTGCCTGTTTCCCCCATTCATATTCTCCAGCAGATTACAAACTTCTTGAGATCAAGGCTAGTACCTTATTCTTCCATTTGCCATGATATGATCCTTTGTATCTCAGTATCTCACACTATATCTGAAACCAAAGAGCTGAACTGTAAAACCAACTTAATGTATTATTATGGTTAGCATAGCTTCATTTGGCAAAGCAAATCCCTGACTTTTGTACAGATTTTGGTAAGAGTATTTTGCAAGCAAAGCAGTAGATTGAGCTGGGCATAGTGACCCACACCTGTAATCCCAGTGGCTCTGAAGGCTAGATCCCAAGTTCAAAGCCAGTTAATTCAGCAACTTAGCAAGGCCCTAAGCAACTTAGTGAGAGAGACTGTGTCAAAATTTAAAAAATAAAAATAAAAAGGGCTGGGGAGGTAGCTCAGTGGTTGAGCACCCCTGGGTTTAATCCCTGGTATCAAAAAAAAAAAAGCAGTTTGTTTGCATCTGTCTTAACATATTCAGCTGGAACAAATCTGTCACTAGCAGTGATTTTCAAAGCCTGAGACTGCCCCTGGTTTGTTGGATTGTAGGGGTGTATTCCCTGAAGCAAGTTATCTTTGATCAACTACATAGTTTCAATACCAATTCTGATGGTCATTTTTACCTTGGCAATAGAACAATTAGTCTTGTTCTAGGATAGTTCATTTTCCATAGATATTCTAGTAATTACTATGGACAAGGTACTGAGCTTCTAGGAGTAATCTACTGATCGGAGCTATACCAACTTTCATGAAAGCTGAAATACAAAAGTAATCTGGATTCAGATTGTGATGGGCTTTGAATGCCATGATAAAGCTATTTTGGAGGCATAGTAATTTCTTAAGCACAGAATAATGACATAATTTGTAAGTCATAAAAGCAATACAATATGATCATGGGTGAATGGGGCCAGACAGGTAAGGAAACCAGGTAGGTATGGGTAAGACAGACATGTGTTTCAGACTCACTGAGTCTTTACAGTGTCAGCACATTCTGGCAGAGCAGCCTGGGAGGAAGTGGACAGGTCGCATCTGTTTAGCAGAGATGCTGGAGCAAGATCTAAAGATTCTGGATACTGAAGGTGAGGGTTTATATAAAGTTGATTTATTATAAGGGAGATAAGCATAGATAGAATTCTGACAATAACAAAATTTAAAGGACAGAAAGCAATAAGGCAGAAAAATTATTAAAGGCAAATAGTTAAAGTGGTAAAAGAAGCAAATGGAGTGGTATAATAGGAACCTAGCATTTGGAGACCTCCCAGCTAAATTGGGGTTCCAGCACTAGGAACAACCCTGCCAGCCAGAAAGAGTGTGCATGTTCACAGTGTGCTGTTCGCAGAATACCTCTTTCATCTGGAAATGGCCCAAGGCCTAGTTGTCTGCCCTGTGACACAGGGCACCTCATATGGGAGACTCCTTTATACTGGCAGAGGCCCTATGGCTCTTAGGGCAGTCTCAGTGTCCAGTTGATGCTGTGCCTGGCCATCACCCTGGTACAGGGAGCCCACCCTTCAGTTCTCTGGGGAAACCCAGCCTGGGATAGCAAATTCAATACACCACCACAATAGGAGGCAAGTTCATGTCTGTTTACTGATAGATCCAGGGTTGAGAGGGCGCATTGGGGTAGGTAGATAGTCCAACTGTTCCCAGGTCACAGATAGGTATGAAGGGTCAGGGAGAGAGAGTGACAGGTAGCATTATGCACAAAGGAATAGTGTATGAGCCACCCTATTCCTGAGGGCCTCCCTATTCCCTTGTGTGTAAGTTTGAGCTTAAATGTGTGAATGGTCCATTTAAAGGAAGTGCTGGGGAAAGCAGGGAGCTGGGCCTGCTAGCACATAAAGATGCCTCTAGGTTCTTATCTCTGGCCACCAGCCTGAGCTTTTGGATGTGGCTTTTGCATCCCAGGGAAAAGAGTTAAAGGTTGAGAGCAGAAAATGCTAGAGGCCAAGGACAATGAGGACTCGACACCATTTTGGGGTTTGACAACAGGGTCATTCTCTAGCAGTACAAGTGACAGGACCAGACCTCAGGAGATGGAGGAGAGAAGGGGAAGTCAAGGAGTGGAAGCAAAATGGAGATGCTTTTAAAAACTCTTGATGGCGGAGGGGAGTGGAAGATGAGCACATATAGGAGCTGAGGAAAGCACGAGAGCTCGCTTTTCAGGGTCATGGTTAAGAGCATGGGCTGTGGAACCTGTAGGACTCTCTGGAATTACAGCCTAGTCTGACCCTGACCAATCACTCCTCTAAGACAAAGCTTTTAGCCCTCTTTCTGCCTCACTTTCTTTATCTGCAAATCGGGGTAATATTCAACAACGGGGCCACCTCCCCTGGCAGAGGCAATTTGCCAGCTTGGGGAGGAGAGGGTATGTACTTGTTCCTGCTCTCAGGGGCCTTACAGTTTAGCAGAGAATGATTGTGCACCAATGGCCACATTACAGCATAGTCAGAACAGGGCTGGGGGGAACTTTGCATGGTATGCACATTTAAAGCACCTTTCTGATTCATCAGCTTGCTACACCAGAGGTGCACTCCAGGTTTGGGAAACAATGACTGTAACAATGACTCTTCTTGGCCTTTCAGGTTAATCATGTCCGAACTAGAGACTTTGACTGCTGTCTTGTCGTGCCCCTCATAGCAGAATCTGGTAATAAGCTGGACCTGGTTATTAGCAGAAACCCACTGGCTTCCCAGAAATCCATAGAACAGACTCTACCAGGAGGAGACTGGAGTGAACAGAACAGCGCCTTTTTCCAACAGCCTAGCCACGGTGGTAATCTGGAGATGCGAGAACCCACTAATACATTATAGCAACACTTTTATAAAGCAGGACAAAAGACGATATCTACATGGTGCTAAAAATCCCTTTAAGATTTCTGTGACATTTGAAGCACAGATAATCACGTGGCATTAACTGCAAGCACAGGGGTCTTTTAAAATCTCTCTCATGGCTCATGTTCACTTCCCTTTTCAAGTTGAAGATTTCTTTTTAGGTGACCACTATGATATATAGCAGGCAATTCCCTGCCAAGCCCATTGGTAGAGAAAAAGAGAAAAATAGGCTGCCCTCCCCCCCCAGAATTAACATCAGAGGAAATTTTTTTACAAATTCATCTTAACGATCACTTTTTAAAAAAAGAAATGTCTGTCTGAAAATATTCTCAATGATAATTTCCTTAATTCACTTTGAAATCAGTTTCTTACTATGAAGTCATTAACATAAGAACATGACCAACATGAAGCTGGCTCTTACTAGGGGAACTAGTATTCGGTACACTGCAGGGACTGCTGCAATGGGAGGGGTACGGGTAAAAAGTTATCTTAAAATGTTCAGCAATGATGCACGTAGGAGACCATAATAGGTGGTGGTAAATGTTTGCCCAAATATAGGAATGATTTTAACTCTAAGATGTATGCTATTCCCTATGCAACAAATTATCAAACAGGATATGTCTTGTGACCTGTTTTTTTTTTTTAAGGACACATTTTTTAATAGCTAAAAATCTCTGATAATGAAATTAGAGTGTGTAGGAACACTGAGAATTAGTTATATTATCCTATTTTTAAAATTCAAGACTAAGAATTTAAGAGAGAATGAAGATTCTATTAAAATGAGATTCATCTTATTAATAGGCAAATCAAACTCATACTGCTTGACATGTTTTGAAAACTGGTTAATATTGAGGGGTGTACAGCACATGTACTTAAAAATGACACTGGATTATCTTTTGTTCTGAGCCATGCCACTTATGGAAATTGTAAATACATTTTTCACAAAATGCATTGCCAATTACTACCATCCCTCAAAGCAATAAATCGTGACAGTTGCTTTTAATGATTGTTGGCAACTGTTTTCATTTGTTCAGATATTTTGAATAGTACACTAATAACTGTTATTTGGTAAATATTTAAAAAATAGATCTGTATATTGATGGTAGAATGTTGAAACAATTATTTTCCAAACATTTTCATTTTGGTTAATGATTCAAACAACCATTTAGGCGAAGCATTCAAACACTGTGTCCTTTGTTTAAGGAAAAAGTTCACCTTTCTTTTTGTGCAAAGAAATATATAATTTAAATCACATTTCAGAACCGCCAGGGCAAGAAAGTGTAAGGCAGAATCATGTTAAGGAAGGAAAAAAAGATCATGAGTCACTTAAATATGTATTTTTATTTGTAACAAACAAGTATTAAACTGTAAAGTATTTTTGTACAAATTTAATACTTTAATAGCATGGTATTTATCGTCTATGTATGGTTTTGGGGAATTCAAAACTGTTGCAAATATTTGTATGAAAAAAAACCCTCTACAAATGGAATAAACAGTGATTTTAAAAAGTCAAAAACTATGACAAGCATTTTTTTTTAGTACACTGAATTCATATTTCAGTGCTCCAGCCTGAGTGCCATACAGTGCTGCTCATCTGTACACAATTTTCACAGGGGAGATGCTTTGCTATACACTTGAAAAGCACCATAGACACATGAGAAGAGCATGGGTTTTAAAATCATACTTGGGTTTGAATATCAGCTGTGTTACTCACTGGTGGTCTAAAATTCACCTGCCTGAGTTGGGAGTCGGCTTCCCCACCTGCAATTCTGAAGGTCATGTCTGCTCTACAGAACGTGAGAGCTGGGGTCAAGTACAGGAGGAAGGGCTAAAACCACAAAAAGAGCCAAGGGTGTGTTTACTTTAGGTAACAAAGATTTCAACTCAAGGATTAGACCTGCCCTCAGAGAACATTCCATGTATATACATTGGCATTAACTGTTAGCATAATTAAAGTTTGTATATTTTATCTTTAAAAGAAAAATACTACATCTATAGTCCCAACACAGGCTCCATAAATTCATGTTCATTTATTTATATACAGTTACATTCAGCATGCTTAGGGTTACATTCTAAAAGATGGTATTTTCTAACACATTGCAGAACCCAAAGAATTATTCAAGTTTTTATTGGATATAGCGTGGCCTAATTTCTGCATAGAGCCAATGATGTGTGGTTAGCACTGATGATGTGAATAAATGCAAATGAGAAGCTGTATCTCATATGAAAGACTCAGGTATCTCAGTTATAACTAACTGATTCAACAACATAAAATGGCTGCTAAGAAAGAAAGAAAAATAGGGGCTGGGGATATGGCTCAAGCGGTAGCGTGCTCGCCTGACATGCGTGCGGCCCGGGTTCGATCCTCAGCACCACATACAAACAAAGATGTTGTGTCCACCTATAACTAAAAAAAAATAAAATAACATAGAATTTTAAAATTCTCTCTCTCTCTCTCTCTCTCTCTCTCTCTCTCTCTCCCCCCCCCCCCCCCCTCCCCCTCTCACCCTCTCTAAAAAAAAAAAAAAAAAAGAAAGAAAGAAAAATAAAACTCAGTGATTTCAGGTGGTACTTTATGAATCTAGTGACCAGGCCTTTAGGTCATGGTCAGTCCACAAGTTTTGAGGATTCCTCTAGAAACAGCCTTCTGCAAACTGAACTGAAAGGATTCATGCTACCACCCAAAGTCTAGTAGAGGGAACTGGGCAGAAGAGGCAAGATCTGTTTTTGTATCATTAGGTCAGAATCAGGATGGAGGTTCCAAGGACACAAATTTCAGTTTAGAATAAGGAAGTGATTTCTAACCCTAGATTTATACAGTGGTCATGGCTTCCAGTCAAAAGACTTTCAGCACTAGCAATATGTGTAATTCTGATGACTGATGGGCATCCAGGACAGTAGTAAGCTGGACTATATGACCTGGGGAGCTGTTCTGGAAATACACACCCTTAAGTCCTGAGCAAGAGATAGTGAACAATTATTGTGCCCTCCACTTGGATAATGAGGCATGGCTCCAGGAGTAGTGTTGCCTCGTGGGGTTGGGTTACACTCACCTGTTCCTTTGTAATCCTACCCATTTGCCCTTTTAGCGATAGGTGGCCCCTTGTGAGTCCCCTATATAAGAATGAAGAATTCCAGTGGCTCTCTCTCTTTCCATGGATCCCTGAGGTCAGAGTCATCCTGGATTTTGAAAAGGTACTTCTGGGGTTTATGTGCTTTCTTTGCCATTTTCTTATGTTATTGGAATAGTCAAATTTGTGAACCCAGCATAGGTCACCAGCTAGGATAGATGGTGATAATGACCCCACAATCTTTCCATGCTGATTAAACTATATTTGCTTTAAATTCAAATCATGGTTTCCTAGAAGTGTCCTTTGGAACATTCAGTTACAAAGTATTAGTTTTACTGTGTTTTAAGGAAAACAGAATATTTTAAATTTCTTTTTGACAATGTTACACTTTACCTGAGCCCTGTGCTCTGAAATACAGCCAATTAAAGGAATTTTACTTTTATTTCTATAAGTTTGGTAGTAACAGCCCTCTTCCCCATCCTCCAACCTTTGTATTCCAGGAAGTGGTGTATTGCAAAGAAACTTTCTTCTCCATATTGCTTCATAACTGATTAACTGAACAGTTTGTATCACACTGAGCCATCCAGAAAAATAGTAAGCTTCCTTCCCACAGGTCCCTGAACTTTGGCTAACATTCAGCATAAGCCAGCATACACCCCCACTAAACAGCCCTTTCTAAGAGTAATGAAGTCCAAGAGTTAACATTAATGGAATAGAGAAGAGCAAAGTGTAGAGAAAATCCTTGAAACTAAAAAGATCAACTGTTAGCTACAGTGACCAAGGAAAGGAGAACTGACTCAAATTATTAATATCAGGAAGGAAAGGGGAACTTTACCACCAACCTTAAGAAAATGGAAAAGACTGTAAAGGAATAATAGAATGAACTGGGTGACAGCAGCATAAATTAGATAAAATGGATAGATTCCTAGAGATCCAAACTATCAAAATTGACTCTCTGAAATGGAAATTAATATAGAATATAAATATAGAATATAATATAGAATATAAAGTCTAAATAGACCTACAGTAAATAAAAAAGATCTAATTAGTACTTCTGAACTCCCTACAAAGAAAAGCCCTAGGCCCAGATGACTTCACTGGTGAATTCTATCAAACATTTAAAGAAAAAATCAGTACCAATTCTTCACAAACTCATCCAAAATGGGAGAGAAAAGAATACTTCTCAATCCATTCTGTTGTGATCACTATTACCCTGATACCAAAACCAGGCAAAGAAAACTACAGATTAGTAACTCTTATGATTACAGATATAATCCTCAACAAAAGACTAGCAAAGTGAATGCAGCAGCATATAAAAAGGATTGCACACTGTGACCAAGTGGGATTTATTCTGGAAAACAAGGTTGGTTTAATATCCAGAAGACTGGTGTAATATCATATCAGCAAGACAAAGGACAAAATTATTGACACAATTCAATATCCCTTTATGATAAGCACACACTAGCAACAAAAGAGAACTCCCCATATAGATCAACGGAAGGGCTTCAAAGAAAAACTCACAGCTGACATTGGAGTTGGAAAACACACAAGCAATATACAAAAATAGTGTTTCTGTACAGTGGCAATGAATAAACTAAAAATAAATTCAAAAAATAATTTCACTTATATAAGTATCAAAAAGAACAAAATACTTTGGAATAAACTTAATAAAAAAGAATTGTAACTTTTAAAAAAGTTACACTTTCAGAGTATAACTGAAAACATTTTTTTAAAGGCTTAAATAAATGGAAGAACATTCCATATTCATGAATCATAAGACTTAATATTGGGGCTGGGATTGTGGCTCAGTGGTAGAGCGCTCGCCTAATATGGGTGGGACCCAGGTTCGATCCTCAGCACCACATAAAAATAAAAGGCATTGTGTTGTGTCCATCTACACCTAAAAAATAAATATTAAAAAAAGACTCAATATTGTTGAAATAGAAATATCCCTCAATTCTGTATATTTCATAACATAATCTCCCATCAAAGTTCTAGTTGTCATATTGCAGAAAGTGACTAGTAGTTCCTAAAATACATATGAAAATGCAAGAAACCTAGAATGACCCAAACTGTTTTGAGAAAACAGCAAAGTTGGAAGACTCATGTTTCTAGATTTCAAAACCAAGTCAGTGTGATACTGGCATATGGACAAGGATATGAATCAGTAGAACTGAGAATTCATAACCTTTCACATTTATATTCAATTGATTTTTGACAAGGGTACCAAGACAAATCAATAAAGAATAATCCCTTCAAGATATGGAGCAGGAACAACTGGATATCCACACTCAAAAGAATGAAACAGGATCTCTACCTCACACTGTATATACAAATTAACTCAAAAATTAATGAAAACTCAGATGTAAGTGTGGGGGGAAGTGATATGAATCGAGGTGTCTGATGGCTTTGTGGTTGTGATGCGCTTGCGCTGGGATTCCCCTGCACAAAAAGTAAAAGGTTAACATTTCCCATTTGCTATGGTGACTCTGGTCCTTGGTCAGTTTGGATAAGCACTCAGAGTTTGATCAGTTTTGACCTTGAAATGCAGACACTAATTCCTAGGGATAGAGGATTCTAAGCATAGCAAGATCGCTGTACTGTTTTGTCAGCGCTGTAAAGTTTAAGTCTGCTTTGTAGAAACTTTCAAATAACCTTTTGATGACAGAACCTATATAATAAACATGTGGGGCCAGCTCTGGGATGCTGTTCTCTATCAGTGTTCAGTTTCCCACCTGATCCCATTTTTCTCTCTCTAAATATTTGTGTGTCTTTCTTAATCCCCCATTGCCCCTCACCAGTTTCTGAATTAACTGTCGCACAGGTCTTGGCATGTTAAAGCTAAAATGATTAAATGCTTAGAAGAAAAATAGGAGTAAATCCTCATGCCTTTGGAAAGGCAATAGCTTCTTGGCTGTACACCAAAAGTATAAGCAATAACAACAAAAAATAGATACGCTGGGTGTTAGGGTTTAGACATTAGGTGTCCCCCAAAAGCTCATGCATAAGACAACGCAAGAAAGTTTGGAGGTGCAATGATTAGGTTATGAGTCTTAACCTAATCAGTGCATTAATCCTTTGATAGGGATTGACTGGGTGGTAACCAAGTCAGGTAGGCTGTGGCTGGAGGAGGTAGGTTGCTGGGGAAGCACCTTTGGAGTTTCTATTTTGTCTGTGGTGAGGGCAGCTGTCTCTCTTTGCTTCCTGGTGCTATGTCCTGAGCTGCTTTCCTCTGCCAAGCTCCTCCTGCCATGATGTCCCACTTCACCTGGGACCCAGAGAAAATGAACTGGCCATCAATAGACTAAGACCTCTAAAACCGTGAGCCCAAATAAACCTTTCCTCCTCTAAAAGTGTTCTTCTCAGATCTTTAGGTCACAGCAGCAAAAAAGCTGATCAAAATGCTGAACGTCATTAGAATTTAAGATGTATAGTTCAAAGGACA